TGGTGGAGTTTAAATGCTTTTTAATAACGTGTGTTTGTTCTGTCTATTGTAGGAAGCTAAGAAGTGGCAGGAACGAAAAGAGGCACTGGAGGCTGTCGAGGCTTTGACCAAGAACCCCAAACTAGAGAACGGAGACTATGGAGACCTTGTCAGAGCCCTGAAGAAGGTAAAGGTTCAAAGTACTCTTGAGTGGCTTCAAAAAGCATTTTTTTTTTCTCACAGGTTTGGGTTTTGCAATTGTCTCTTGACAAGTTTACTGTGTTCTAGGTCGTAGGGAAAGATGCTAACGTGATGCTGGTTTCCATGGCAGCTAAATGTCTGGCAGGATTGGCTACTGGACTGAGGAAGAAATTTGGAACATATGCAGGACAAGTAAGTTGAAGTGCCTTTTCTTGATCTAAATAACAGCACATTTTTGAGAAGAGAAAATGTTCTCTTTAACCTTGAAACACTAAACGTATGCTGTAGGCTGAAATGATCAGCATAGCAACTTTAGCAAATAAAACAAAAAACAAACGTGTTTTATTTTAATTTTTTTTAAAATTCCTTTTATTTATTAGGAATAAAAACAAACAAACATGATGCAAATCTGTATAACAGATTGAGGTATCATTGTTTTCTCTAGTGTTGGATGCTGCACAGCAGTCATAAGTTTTTCACTTTTAAACTGATCTGTTTGTCTGCATCTTATATCACCTGTTTGTATATGTCATCGAGTAGGCTGGCCCAGTTTGTTACTTTCTAATGTGAGATCTGTCTTTTAAGGTGGTTCCAACCATTCTAGAGAAGTTCAAGGAAAAAAAGCCACAGGTTGTCCAATCCCTGCAGGAGGCAATTGATGCCATCTTTCTCACTGTGAGTAAATTCTTTACATCTCATTGACAACAGACTTCAGCATGTAAATCTGACTGAAAAACCTCTAGTCCTTGTTATGTGTACTTTCACTTAACAGCATAGATCAGCATGTTCAGTTTTTAGCCCTCGGCCATAAAAGGCTGTTTGGTTATTGTCACCACCCCCACTAGGCTGATGCTGTGAACAACTAAGTTTGTGAATGCAAGAACGAGGTGACGTAGGAGCTTCAAATTGATACCCAAGTGCATCCACTAAGAATGTCTGTGAAGGTTCTCAGTCATCCAGGTCATCGTAGTCAAAGGAGCTTGCAAAGAAAAG